GCGGGGTGGCTGGAAGTCAGAGCAGCAGAGGGGCCCGTGGCTGTGTGCTGCATGTTGCACTGTTTGTAAAAAGGGTAAGCTTGTCCACACAGTGAAGTGTGAAAGCTTCTGCTGAGACTGAAGGGCAAGTAAATATAGTCCATTAGAGGACTGTTCAACCAAGGCAGGCTTAAGAGATTGCTTTTTTCACTTTGTCAGCAAGTGAGCTGCTGGATTTTTTTTATTGTGTATACAATTTGAATAATGACATATAAGCTACTGTTATAAATTTATTGTGAGGGGCATGGGCATTACTTTGGTCCTAACCATTTCACAGTAAAAGCCTTTCATATCTTAAATATTTGTACTGTTTGTAATTAAAATATGGGATAAAATTGAATTGTTCACTGAAAGCAAGATCAGTAGTTGTATGGGGTGTGTGCTTAAGGCTTTAGAAAACACATTGAAAGGAATTTGTCCCTCTGCAGAGAAAAAGAAAATTAGTCTTTATAGTTTCAAGAAACTTGGTGTCATTAAGAAGAAGACAAGCTGACTCTGGAATCTGGGATGCCTGAGCATGTATAGCTGTAGTGTTTTTGGGTTTCCTGAGGCATGCTCTTGAATGGTTAAGGAAGTTGGCTAGGTCTGTATTTTTCCGTTCTTTGTTCTCCTATGCTTTTTCTCCTTCCCTATTCTCTTATTTAGCAGCTTCTGTGGAATAGTCACAATGTGTTAATTTATATTTTTTTTCAGTACTTCTCATTTCCTGTGCTTAATCAATCTCAGTACATAGAACAAATAGTCCAGATTAACAAAAGATTTTGCAAAGTAGCGAAGATGGTATTGCATCTCTGATTAATAATCTATTTGCTCCCTCAGAAATCTGAGGCAAATAGGATAATGTATACCAGGCTTCTCTTGCAGCTCATATTTGCTTGGAGTTAGGTCAAGATCATAAGAGGTACAGTTTTTCTCAGGGAGAATACTCCTCTGTGCACCTGGGAGGGGCTTGGACACTAAGACTAAGGCATCTAGTATGACTCTCTAAAGTAAGGGGCTTTAATTTGGGATCTTGGATTCATTTATTCACAACAGATACTCGTGATCCTTTCTATTTTGTATCTCCTTGTTAAGATTGACCAAATTACCTCTTTTCTGAATTTTTAAGTGGGGTAACCCTATCTTCACTGTTACATGGGAAATGGTTTCAATCAGACTGAAAGGGAAATTCGTCCCATTATTTCTCTTTAAATGTTCTGCAATCATTTTACACTTTTGAAAATCCATTCTCATTGACTTTCTTGAACTGACTCTTCTGGGGGACAGCATTGCCTGTTTGAATTTGACGTGGAGGATTACTCCCAATAGCAGATTTGTTTCAGCTGAGCTTTATGCTACCAACAGACCGGTGCCAGTAGCTAGAACTTCAGCAGACTAACAGCATTTCCATCAGATGTGTTCAGTCAGGGGAATATTCAATACTTGCAAGAAACTAGTTGCTTGTTGTGTTTCTTTTCCTTTTATTTTTTTTCTTTTTCCCTCCAAGAATTGAGTGGTTAAGTTGTTTGTATGGGTGGAAGACTCATACAGACAGTATTGCCCCTGCAAAGAAATGGGCTGAAATGTATGCAGTTTAAATTTTTAATCATTCCAAGTATCTCCAATTGAGATGGTACCAGCAGTTGATGAGGTAATTAAATACTTTTCCAGAATTATAAGAAAGGTGAGACATTGTTCCAGTTTTATTTTCCACCCAGCAACAGTTCCAGACCAGTGCCAGCTGATAACATATATGCATATATTTTAAGTGGAATTCAAAGCTTACTTAAGACAATACTGATCTCATCCCAAGAGACCTAAACTTCTAATTTATCCTGTAGGAATGCAAAATACCTACATACTCACACAGAAATCCTGCATGTGAAAGGAAGCTGATTATTTTGGAGGGATTTTCTCTGGTAGAATGTGGCACAGAAAAGCCTGTTCATATGAGGAGTAAGGAGAGATGGGAAAAATATCTAGCCCATCCTTTCTCAATACAAGAGTGTTTGTCTGTACTATTCTGGATTTTTGCTAGTCTAGGTTTGAATAATTTAACAATGGTGTCTCTCATGGTTTCTTTGGATAGGAAATTATGAAAAGTTCCTCAATATTTAGTTGTCTTGTCTTTTTCTTTCAGACTCTCCCTGAAGGTTCAAGAGACCCATCTTGTGCTATTTTTGTAGCTGACTGTATATGTTTGTATCACAATATTTTGACATGGTAGCTGCAGTGTATTTAATCCTAATAAGTTTCTTCAAATCGGTACTGTTATAATACCAAAACTAACGCAGCTTGAGAGTTACTGTACATAATACCCCTATTTGGTATATCCATAGCATTTCATTTTTATTATTGTAGTCTTTGCTGAGTGCACTATTTATCAAAGATTATAAGGAATGAGTTTTGCTGATGCTATTAAATCACTCAAGTGTGCTAAATTATGGCACCAGAGCAGGTGCTGTTGTCTCCAGCTCTTCTGGAAAGAAAGGAAGGGAAAAACCCTGAAATGATCCTGGACATTTATACCTAAAGGAAACAATTCTTCTTATTAATATAAAAAGATTGGTTTGTACTCACTCAAGGGAATTCTTGGCAGTCGGTTTAAACTTACATGTATATATAGCACACTGGAGCCTGCTGAGTACCTCTGTTTTCTTTATGGATGGAGCTTTGGTGCCAAGAGGTCTGCACCACATACAAGCATAGATAGGCTTCTATCTGATGGATTGTCCCATAGTGGACCACATTGTATACAGGATGTTCAAACACGTATTGATTATGCGGGTCTGTAGTTTACAGCAGAATCATAAACTGATGCTTTTAAGTACATATATGTAATCAATCTTTATGTGAAGGAAATCAGTACAAAAGAGAAATGTTATGCTATACATTAGACATTATATTAAATTAAATTAGGTTGCATGTACGTTATACACTTTTTAACCTTATCACCATAACATTATTGTGTTCCAAGCATCATCTTTGTGTGGACTATGGATTGTAAATGTATAAAAAAGTCCATAGTGTGTATAATGCTATTCTGCTTTTAGTGCTGTGTCTCATGGTTAGCTCCAAATGAAAGTCCCATATAACAGAGACGTAAATTTTTTATAGGGGTACTTTTATGTTTGTTACATATCTGTAAAACTTTTCTGCAACACTGCATTACGGAGTAAGAGACTTGTACTTAGGGGGGAAAATTAGCACATTGATTAGATTTTAGACGGTTGTGAAAATAAAATAGAAATATATAGACTTATAGACTAACTTGTTTCTGGTACCAAACGTCCAACTGATTATTTACCAAATATAGACAATTTGGCTCAACTACCACTTTTAAATGGAAAAATGAATACAAAATTCGTGTTTTGTATTTGACTGCCTTATGTTTGCAATTTTTGCAAGTGATTATGTTAGCTTACAATGTTTAGCTGTATAAAAGATGATTTAGGCTGGTCATGTTTATTTGTAATTTGGGACAGGAGTACTTGAATGATTCCTTTGGAGCAGCTTTCATGTTCAGAGGCTTTATTCCCGTCTTCTGGATCTATGAAAAATATATGAATTGAAAATACGACTATTTGGTGATAATATGGTGCTTATGCTATTTACCCAAACAGTTATGTCTGCATTCACTCTTTAACTCATATTTTCCAATTGGTCAAATTCCTTCTCGTCTCATTCATTGTTAGTGGAATTTATATGTTGACTGTATGTTGTTAGCCCTCTTTATATAGGGTTTTAAAAAAATATTGTGCTGCTGTCACACAACCATCTCAGTTGCTGGAGTGTGTGTGGTGGCTGTCTTATGTCAGGGAAAAAGAACATGCTTGAAACTAACTTTTTATTTGTCTGAAATTCAAAAGAACAGTGTATAACTGCATTTAGAAAACTCCACAGGCAGCTGGGGTTTAGCCTGTGGATACATTTGGTCAACAAAGCGTGCAGAAAAGATCTGGGGCAGATAAATATTTGTGGAGAGGCCATATAGAGAGAGTGGCCTGAGCTTGTTTCCCAAATCTTTGGTGAAAGACCCTACTTGTCAAAGGCAAGGCACTCAGCTGAGATGTGTGGAAGAAGGCCATAGCAAACCACTTCTGTGTGCATTTACCCAAGACCAGTGGGCCCATCATTGTGTTCTCTGCCACTGAGTTATAAAACCTGCTGCACAGTGCTGCTGTAACCCTGCAGTGATGGTGATCTCAGTCCCACGGGGCAAATATAAAAGCCTGCATCTAGTAAAGGTGTAGAAGTCGCTGAATGTGATGTTTTGTACTAAATTGACTACTGTGTACATGCACAAGAATTCCCATCAACAACAGGGACTCTTCATCACTTTTCACCATTACTGCAGGAAATGGAAGTTTACATTTAAGAGTTGATTTGAATTTGAATTAAAAATAATTTTTCGAGGTTTATACAACCAAATTTGCTAAAATACTCTGGGTCCCCAAGGACCTTAACACCCTAAGTCTCCTTGGGACTTAATTTATTAATGTATTTCTAGGCTGTGCAGATAGTGTTATTTTTTTCTACAGTGTCATTAACTTTGTCTTCTTGCTGATGCTGTCTTGGCATATCTTCTGTTATTAGTTTCTACAGTGAACAGTATCAGTGACTGAAGATGATTGTACACCAGATGTATCAAGTTTCATTATTGTCTCCTGTTTGTTTTTCTTTGCATTTTTTTTGCCTAAAACTTTCATTGTTAAGGAAAAAAACAACCCTAAGAATAATAATATGTGGCTGATTTTGTTTCCTAGTTTCATTTTTCATTATCTAAGTTACTGGATTTAGGTCACATGGTTACATTTCTAAAAGAGATACTTAAAATCTAAACTTGGATCTGTCTCTAAAACAATTACATATAAGAGAGAGATACATATATTTTAAATGGAAGTCTGGATTACTGGAAACAGCTAAAGTACTTACACTTTTAATCTTGTAAAACGACAGTGTGTATAAATTGTCTTTGCTAGGTGGTGCACATGAGGGTCTCCAGCACTTGGGTCCTTATGGCAATATCCCAAACATTGTGGCTGAGCTGACAGGTGATAATGTACCAAAGGATTTCAGTGAAGATCAAGGCTATCCTGACCCTCCAAATCCCTGTCCTATTGGAAAAACAGGTAATTTGGCTGTAGCCTTTGTACCTCTGTCTTCACTCTACATCTTCCAGTCTTTCAACTGGGTGTTTTTGTGTTTTTAGATGAGCTTTTTTTTTTTTTTTTTTTTTTTTTTATATGTGCACCTTCTGTATTGCTATATGACTGCTGGAGAAGGTCACGTGAAAAAATAATTATATTGACCTCAGAGTAGAAGATAGTGAGATTGATGATAGCATCTTGTTCCCAAGGGACTTCATTTTCAGGCTGGCCCCTGAAAAAAGTTATCTTTCTGTACAGTCCGTTATTTTAGAGACTTTCATTGTGCCAAGAGGAATGAAACTGTCTGCCCTGATCTCCAACCCAGACCATGAGTCAATATTTAAGATACCTTGGCTCCAATCCATGTGTCTTTATAGCTCACTGAGGGTGCCTGTCTGCCAAGAAATGGAGAACTATGTGGATGTACCCCAAGATGTTGCATGCAGGCTCAGTCTGGCAGAGGAGCAGTGCAGCCTCTGAGTGCCAGAGAGGTGCCCCAGACACCCAGTGTGTCCCTCAGCTCACAATTGCACATGTACCGAGCCCTGCAGGTGGCTAGTGCTGAAGGATCACTAAAGCAGCACTGCATGTGCGTAATATAGACATACTCTAAGAGAATTGATCTTTTTCCTGTTATTTGAGCCAAGGAATGACTTCCAGTACTGAAAGTAGTAGTAAAACACTCATTGGCTGCCTTGGGAGCTCAAACTGGGAATGAGCACTCTATTTTTCTCTCATTTTTTATTTGTGGGCTAAGATATCCTTTAAAAATGCTTTCTGTTTAGTCTTCTTTTATGTTATTTGGAAAATGCAGAACAGTTGTTTGTATTCTTGTTTAAAAATGTTCTAACTAGCTTAGAATTCATCAAAAAATAATATTTGTCATGAAAAGTTTTGTGAAGTATTTTTACATTTCATTCAAAAATTTGACAAAATTTCAAATAGCCCTTCCTTACTGTTTTCTATTACAGCCCATTTGGTGATGATGCCTACATCTCTTCTGAAATAATACCTCCTCTTCTAATTTTTTCAGTATAGCTGTTTGACAGGTTGCAAATGATGGGTTTAGGTTTTCTCACACACACAAGCACACACACAGACTTTCTATCTTCTGTGCTTGCCCGTTAGACTTCTGTTAGTGATTAGATAAATAAATTAAAAACATGGCATTCAGGGAAATGCCTTTGAAAATCCCTCCAATTTTTCTTTCTTAGGCGAAATAATAGTTGTTAGCTAAGCTAATACAGTCAGATCTGAACACAGGGGGAATTCTTAGGGAAATGCTGCCTGCTCAGATAAATGGCTCTGTCATAGGTATGCCATGAGTGAAGATAGTATCTACTAGGATTAGAGTAAAATGTTTTTCAGAGCCTTAAATGGAAATTCAAGTGCTGACTGTATTATGCATACAAATTACCAGAGGCCTTCCTCAATCAGGTCTGTGGATTTGCTTAATGGAAACAATTTTTCCAGTCACTGTCTACATATGCACATTCCACAGCAGGAATACATAAGCCTGGAGCACTTGAGCTTGAAGACTTTTAGATTAGCAGTCACAGAGGGCACACATATGCCCAGCTGCCCTTTGTGTTTTCTAGCAAAAGACACACATACTCTGAGAAGATTGACCACACTTCTCTTGTCACCTGTTTCTCCCTTGAGATAACCTTGTCCCTGCCGGGACTGAAATAATTTTTAAGTGCTTTAGTGATATCTGAGTTACTTAGCCAATATATATAGTTTTCCCCTATTTTCTGTTGGCAACTTAATTTTTTCCCCATCCTAAGGAGCAAATAGAGAAAGCAGGATCTGTTGAACTCAGAATAACCTCCTCAGGTCATTACATCAACTCAAGTTTAAGTCAAGCCTTTATTGTTTCTCACATCTAAGAGAAAAAAATAATCCATCTGTAAATCTTTTCACGTGATGACACACAAGGACAAAAGGGAAAGTCCACATGTGTGTGCTCCAGAGTGCCTGTGTTCTGGCAGATGTAGCTGCTTGGATGCCCAGCATCATGCCCTGCCTGGAAGGATCTTCTTCGGTGTGTCTGAGAGGAACTTGGACTGCAAGCTCCCCATGATGGCAAAGCAGAGGGAGCTCCAGGAGCAGACTCTATCTAAAAAATACTCTGGCTCTAAGTTGCTGAAACTTTGTTTAATCTAAAGATGACTTGTTTTGGTAAAAAGACTGTAAGTTGATTTTTAAATGGGTATTATCTTGACGTGACACTCTCTACAGAACCATCCATTGTGGTTAAAGGAGGTTTCTAGACCAATCAGACTAGTTACCAATCTGCAGAAATGTCTTCATCATAAAACTTCTACCACATTGCATTTTTAGGAGATCTTATGATGCATAAATGATTTTCAGCCAATTTGAACAAAGTAGCAAACCAGAAATGGAGCTCCATGAAGAGCTGCTCAGTGAAGGAAATTCAGTCTTTGTTCACAGCACTGTTTTACCATAACCTTCAAAAGTATTGCCTAAACCATTTCTAAAACTACCTGTGAGGATTTAAAAAAGAAAAAAAGATCCCTTCTGAATAGGAACAGGATACAGTTCTACATAAAATCAGTGCAATAATGAAAAGAAAAACAAAAAGGAGGAGGAGAGCTTGGAAAATAAATTTTGTTTAGTTTTGAAGTTTCATTAAGTTGCAAGGTTTTGGGGTTTTTTAAATTAAATACATCCTGACAAATTCATTTCAAAAGAAAAGAAAACTAGTATTTTCTAGTCATCCCGTTCTTTATTTTTTTTTAACTGCATGATTGCATTTAAGAAATTTGAAGACTAATGTGGCACATATTGTGTGTTTCAAAGCTGCTAAGTACTCAGTGCTTTCTAACATACTTTTGCAGTTGATGATGGGTGTCTAGAAAACACCCCTGACACAGCAGAGTTCAGCAGGGAATACCAGCTGCACCAACACCTTTTTGATCCAGAGCATGACTACCCCAACATGGGCAAGTGGGTGAGTACATGCTTCCTGCTTATTTTTTTGCATGTGAAACTGGGTATTGTCTGCTGTCTGTGATACTATGAAAATAGGAAAATAGGAAAATATTGTCTTTATTGCTGGAAAAATTATCACCCTAAGGGAAACCACTCAAAAAAGATAAACTTGCCCTGAAAAATACAGAAATAGTGCTTGCGATTGATACACACCCCAGAAAAATAGAAAGTAGAAATCCTTGTTTTATTACCTGTCCCAAAGCATGACAGCTATGTATGTACTTGATAAATGCAACAAACCACATTTCAAACTACAGTGAATAAGTAACCAAAATTAGTGCAGATCTTAGGACAAGATTTCAAAACATAACAGGACCCTAATCCAAAAGAATATCCAAGTTCAGTGGCTATTCATTGTTCAGCTACTTAGATAAAAAATAGCAAGAAAAACAAAAAAAGATGGAGTGCAGCAATCCCTAAACACCTTAAAAAATCCAGGACCAGACAGCTTGCTTTAAGGAATGCTCTCTGCCTTAAGGATTTTTGAGTACTTGATGCTGATTCTTCCTCTGCTCAGGTTGTGCACTATATTGAAAATCTATTTGACATGTCCCATGTAATAAATACAGTGAGATACACTAAGGGCAAAAATCTTGTTCTAAGCATGCAAAGACTATAATAACTGCAGCTAGACTATTTCTGCAGGCTAAAGGCTCCAAAGAAAGCTCAGCTGCTTAATCTTAGATTACATCAGTTAAAATGTCCAATCCCAAATCCATCTTCAGGCGCCAGGAAAACAATAACAATGATCATAATTTATGCTTCTAGAGCAAATAATGAAATCTCATTTTACATTGCTATAACACTTTACTTAAGATTACCCTAAACCAGTGCTTTGTAAGTATATATCGATAAATGGACATGTTTGGCAGCCTCTTCTCCTGCTGTAATTGTGAGACAATGATTCATCATTCATAATCAAGCCAGTGTAAGATTTATAGTCTTAATTACTTATGTGAGTGCTAAATTTCTGGAGAGAATCATGCCAAAAATCCAAATTTTGGAGACTTGTGTCAGTAATTATCATCAAAGGTTTTCATCTAAAAAACACCAGATGGTGAACTTTCTTATTTCTGCCAGATAAGGTTGTTAATTTTCTTATTATTCATAAGTACTTTACTTTCATAATACCATTTTGAAGACTATAAAAGCACTTCTGTAAATCTTTGGCATCTAGTACTATTTCAGAGTCAAGCGTGTTGTCATTAGCAACATATATACGTAATAAATAGTAGTTAATCATTAGTGAATCCTGGACTTTTTTCATATCTCCATCCATCACTACTTATTCAGGGGGAAAAAGCTGCTCATGCATGGATTAAAACAGACTCTTAGGTACTAAATAGTAATCACATCTAACTGCAGCTTAGCAAACTCCAGATCTTTCTAATTAGAGATGAAACAGCTGGTCATGTGCATGAGCAAATGTTCTGCCGAGATCCAGGAGAATTGCCTCATTACCTCCTCATTGTATATTATTGCATGTTAAAAATATAAATACAGTGGTATCTTTTTATGACTGGTTTTGTTATTTTTAACTCTCTGGAAAAATCAGAGAAACACTCTAAAAATTATTTGTTGAGACTTGATAAAAGAGAGAGATCAGATCTTTTAGGTCACTCACTGTCATCTGCATTAGGTTGTAAATGACCAGCACAGCTGGCTGTGGGCTGCCCAGGCGGTAACTGTGTGCATCCAGTCCTCCCACTGCCCCCAACCACCAAAATTCCCTCTGCCCACCAACAGCTTGTTCCTGTTTCTCGTGTCGAAGAGCCTAGGACTAAACACCACTAGGTCTGTGATGGCTGTCTACTTACAGACTGTGTTTCCAACAGCTCCTACTGGCACACACCCTGTAGGTGCAAGGCTGTCACCACCATCTGAAGCTTTCAGGGCAAGCGTGTCTCTTGGACCCATGTGGGCTGCCGTGTGCTCTTGGGAGAGCTTCTCTCCTGCCTTTTCCTTCCACAGTGCAGTTTAGGCACTGTTACAGTTCCCAGTGACTTGTCCTTTCCAGGACCCAACCTGCATTCCTTACCATAACAACAGTAAAACCCAACTTACATTAGCAGGTCAGGAAAAAAAACCTGCTTGTCTTAATGGGACAGAAGCAGGTTGGTTGGTTTGTTTTCATGATAGACTGTCATGTTTGCAAAGTACGAGACCTCTGCAGTACCTTGTGAATAACAGACACACTTTATAAGAGTCAAGCAAATCTAGAAGGTGTCTCATGCAGCAAAGTGTATGGTTCCATGTAGATGCTAAATATGATGTGTAAATACTGCTAATACATATAAAATATAAATATGTAAATCATGATAAATGTGCACTGGGTTAGGAGTGGGAAGAAAGAGGGAGAATTTTTTTGTCTCTGGAACAACTCTCCATATGTTAATATGCTGACCTGTGGGAAGTCTCTGGAACAGATTCTGTTTATAGAGTGAGATGCACAGCTTATACTCTCATCCCCAGCCCCTAAACTCTTTTTTTTTTCTCCTCATATGTGGAAAACGTAGAGGCGACAGTGGGAATAGTAAGATGAGGGACTTTTGGAGGTTGCTACCCTAGTGTACAAGTATAGTTTCTAAGATTTCAGGGGTTTTTTCCCCTCGGTTCAGACTTTTCCTTGCAGGACACAGATATTTTCCATTTGAGTCTGCCTTTTTTGCAGCTTATCTCTTCAGATGGTTTGAAGACGTGTTGTTGGCATCCAGAAAGACTTTCACAAAGACCATTTACAATATACAATTTACAGTACAAATCTAAAAACCACTTATATGTAAGTTGTTATTTATTGAAAGCCAAGGTGTTAACCAGTACCACATGTAGGGGTTGAAAAGAGAAGGGAAGTTAGCTGTGTTTTCTGACACCAGTATCAATACAAACAGAAAATTAAAAGCAACTATGTTCTTCAGCAACACTCCTTTGTACTGAAGCAATGGATGACATTTCACTCTAAGGATAGAAATAATGTCGGTTTTGCTTATCAGTCACAGTGGAGGGATCCAAGGCAATACAAAGAACGGCAAATGGGAAGCAGGGCTTAAAATATTCTACAAAGGTGAAATCCTTGTTAAGAAGTTACTGTGTGTGGCTTCCTAATTTTAATAGAAACCTGAACTAGTCACTCAGAATTTATTTTAATCCAACTACAGTTGTAGTGAGCAGCCCTAAGTTATCTGTCTTTACCAACTGATATTGCTAAATATCTGGATGATAATGGTGATTATTAGGATATGTTATGACAGGTCTGGTCCCCCTCTTCAATTTTAGACAGTACAGATTGTATAATTCAGTGTAGTATGCCTGATGTAATAGAAATTGTCATGCTTGATATTCCTGGCAACACTGGAACTTCACTCAAAAAAAAAAAAAAAGCCCTCCTGAAAGGGTGCAACCTTGCTAATGCTTTTCAGTTTTTCTCAATAGTTGTGCAGATGCACGTTACAGAATTGTTGATTAATACTGACTTGAAGATTCAGTGCAGTCTGAAATACTTCAAAGAGTGAATCTCTCTGGCATTAGTTAGTTGGTTGTAAATATTTTAACTTCTGATTTTTTTCCCACCCAAATCCGAGCCTGTAGCATCCTAATCCAAGTAGCCAGGAGGGTGCAAAGGAACCTTCAAGAGTGATAGGAAAGTAGCAAATCATGTGCAGCATGTCTCCAGATGAGCTATATCTTTAACTGGACAAACTCTGTGCCTTCATTCCTAACAACCTCTTGGTGAAGGATGGGCACTGCAGAGGCAAATTTTGGTGACTGATGAGATCAGACCATTACGCAGTGGAACATATTTTCAGGATTGCTATTACCATACAAGTATGTTCTTAGCTCATGCTCCATAACCTTATTTGCTTTGTACTCTGCATAATGCTGTAGTTATGGTCTTAAAAGATTCCCAAGCAGACTAAACAAAATATGATATTCATGGTTCAATTGTGAGGAATTTTTCTGAGTGACAGAAATGTTAGGTCCAGTAGTTAATTCTTTTTATTTCAGAGACACCATTTTTCCTCTCATGAAAAGTATAAGGTCAAAGAGTTTACAAAGAGAGGCTTTGGTGGTGTTTTGTTTCCTGAAGAGAATAATTCATACAAATGTGAGTTTCCTTAAAATGTTAAATTTAAGTTTTCCTGAAGAGAATTTGCATAAATTACTAGCCAAGAATGTCCGTCTTGGCCAACTTCATCTCTGTTCCCTTTTGGCACAGCTCAGACAAAATAACTGAGGTTGGGCAAGAGAGAGGCCTTGTGAATTTGGGGTTTAATGAACATGAGAAGTACAAAACAGACAATTTTGGCAGATTTCATTGTAACACTCGAAAATGTTTGTTTTTTCTCATATCAAGGCTGCAGAGAGGGTAGAAGTGTTTGGTGAATTTGTTTTGCGTTAGAATTACACTTTCTATTTATATAATCAATGTTAGGTCAGTTGTTTATAGCAGAATTAATGGCCTTGTTTATACAGTCTTCTGCTTTTATACATGTAATTCTTCTCTTCTTCCATGTTCAGGTTAGGGTTTGGTTTTGGTTTTCTTCATAATGTACAATTGAAACAAAATGTGGTGAACATGTGTGTGTTATTCTAGACTTTATTAGAATTCACTACTTGTAAGAAATACAACAATATGTGGATGCACTTATGTAAACTATGGTCAGAGGGGATTTTTGTGTTGGGTTTTTTTCTTTTTTCTTTTCTCATCATCATAACTTTCTTTTCTGCCAAGATGTTTCTGGCAGTTTTTAAAAGGTTTGCCATTAAAAACGTTATAGACCAAATGGGTTTTAGAAACTTTATTGAGGGCACTACTTAAACAAAGGAAGAGTTGGCGCTGAACTCCTTTCAACAGAGCTTTGCACTGGGGAGTGTTGATATCTGGAAGGGAATAAGCAAAGACAACAAAACAGTAGGAATGACGCCTATTGCTGTTTTTAAAAGACATTAGAAAATCCCTCATAAAGCAAATATTTTTTTACTCCTGTTCTTCTGTCACCTCAAATGCATAAAAAGATATACCAGAGGCAGGAATCGTGCTTTCTCTCCCTCCTACTTTTTTTTATCTTTTACCTTCTGCCTTTTTTTTTAAAAAAAAGTCTACGTGTATTTATACCATGTATCATGTGATGGGGAACATTCAGACCATATCATTATACCAGCATGTACTTAAATCACTTATTGCCTTAACACGGTGATAATATAGTGCAACATAGTGGAAAATTACTGTTACTGGCTTTTAAATTGTTAATAAGGCTGTGACTGCTCCTGAAGAACTTCACATGTTAGCAGGAATATCCAAATATTTATTTGTGCTTTATCTTTCCCATAAAACTGCACACCCTTCTAAACTTGCTAATATTTAACATCAAAAATAGTATTTTAAAAGAAGAGTGTAATGAATTTGATGGCTGGTTTCTTTTTTTTTTCCTTCCAGAGCAAGAATTTACTCTTTGAAAAGATCAGTCGTGGTCCAAAAAGAAGAAAGAGGGTAACTATTGGAATACTTTTTAGCCTTGTGTAATCTAGAGAGAATTAAAATCATATTGTTAAAATGAAGAGTTAATCTAATGCATTTGTATTATACCTTAGATAATGTGTAAAGTCAGGGAATCTCTGTGATAAACTACTATAGCCAGCTTCAGAACTGTACACTGGCTACAAGATTTATTTCTCTAAATAGCCTACTACTTTCAGAAGATGCACTTCAAGGCAGAACATTAATTATAAAACTTCATATTACCTGTGTTTTAAAATTGATCCTATCTGAATAAAACCATTTAAAATTATTTAAATGTGTCTAAAAGAGAATTTAAAAGTTCCCTCCTAAAAATATTAGTAAATTTAATTACCACTGTCCATGCATGTGCATATGTTCTTTGGGTGTAAATGACACTAGAGGTAGTTCTTTAGCAGAGTTTATCTTGGATGAAACTCCTATCTCTATGTCCCACTTGCTTGAAAGACAAAGATGACTGGGCTCTCATTGTTCTGCCCCTGGAACAAGGAAGGCAATCCATGTATCACAGAGAACCTCTGCACAGTCTGCCTCACTACCGTCTCTTTTTTGGTAGCGTCGGCCTTTCTTTTATTAAAAAAAAATCATTTTCAGGCAGAGTCAGAGTCTTTAGCTTTACTGCTGGCATACTGTTTTTCTAAAAAGTCTAGCTCTCTGCCAGAAAGTAGCTTTTCAAAATATGACAGCACAGTTTATACTGCAAATGAAGTAAATTTAATTTAAAATAACAAGCATAAGTGAAGATTATTTATTTATTTAGCTCTCAAACTTCTAGTCTTCGCTAGAAAGGGAGAAGATAAGTTGATTTCTTACCAGTTCACACATCACTGGCAATCAACACTGTGCAACCATGAGTAATGATCTGACCTGAACTTAGTATCTGCCTCCTGCTTACATTTGATTTTTGAGTTTGTTAGTGGAAAAGGAAAAAGGGTAGGCATCTGATTTTAATTTTTAAGTTTCGTGGAATGTTTATTAATAGCTAGAACAACATGTTAAAGTGGAATTCATGCAATATATACATGAGAGGAAAAAAATGAAAAAAAGAAAAAGACTTTCTGTCTCTGAAATGACTGGTGTAATTGAATACAAAAGAAGCAATTGCTGGAGACATGACAGCTGCATGGCCAGGGGTCACCCAGAATTTTGAAGATGAAGCTTCAGTGTCTTGCTTTGCAGCAGATTTATTCTCCTAGCACAGGCATGTCACCTAATGGTAAATTCATTAGAATTTAAGGTGTTTTAGAGTAATACTGTAATGATTACTAATGCTTTAATGAACAATTCAGAATTTTCACTTCATCAGCAGAAGGGTAACCTAGAGATGTCACCAGCAGAGTGTATGTCTCCAGAAAGCAAAATGTCCACTGGATTCCACTGCTGCCTTCTGTGCTCCCTGTTACTCTTCCAGGCCCTTCTGCACAGACATAGAGTTTCCGAATCTTGCAACAAATTGGTCTTTTGGGTCTGATTGTCCCAATTCTAGCTTAAAACAAGTCTTATGGAATGGTGTAGGTAGTAACTCTGTTGTACCTATACAATGTGTAACAGTCACAGAGGCACTACTGAGGTCTGGAATACCACAAATTCTAAGTATATGTTGCATATTCATATATTTATAAACACACATGCAAGCACATATATACATAATCAGTACATACAGCAAAGGTGTGTATTTACCATGTGCTACTGTGTAATTTTTTTTGTAGCACTTGTAGTGCCAGACAAGGAAGCCTACATGACATCTAATTTTAATTAGCCATCCTCCATTTTTTTGCATTTCTATGCATGAGCATAGTCCTGTCCAGAAAATAATATAATATCCCGAAGTGTCAGGAGCTCTTCTGTAATCACTGAGTCATGTTACTGTGGGCTCAGAGCTGTGCACAAAGGTGCTTGGGAACTTGCATTGCTTTGAATTCTGCACAGCTGCATAGGATTAAACATTTTTTAACAAATCAACCAAAATATTTTACATTATATTTTGATTTCTTTTGTCTGTTAAGAAGGATTTACATTTTTATGTAGTTTCATTCCCTTCTACTTTATTTCAAAAAGTAGCAAGCAAGTACCATTCCAAAAAGAAGACCAATTAATCTTCCTAAGAATCTAAAATAATTCCTAGAAGTTTATGCAACAGTTGAATTTCACTAAATTAACATTAAACAGAACTTCTTTAAACAAACACAAACAAATCATTTACATATGTCTTATTTCTAACAATTTAAAGCATTAAATTAGAGTTAGTTTATTTTCAAGGGTTTTTCCACATTCATTTCTGATTCTTAATATTTTTATGTTTTTACTTGCAGCAGGCAAAACACTCAAAAACCAGTGGAAGTAGGCAAAAGGGCTGCTCTGTGCTATGATTAAGTATTAATGATAGCATCCACAAATCTGGAGAAACCCAAGGGGTTAAACTTGAAGGCAGACAAACCCCAAGTCTTTTCCAGGGATTCAAGAAATACTTGGGATATTTGAAAATAAATATTTCGTGCCCATTTTGAATGCTTTTTTTTTTTTTTGATTCCTCATTTTTGGTGAAAGAACCACAGAAATATCTCAAGAAAAGTAATTTCTGTAACATAGTCAGCCTGACAAGAATCAGGAGATACTGGAAAATTTGCATTCCTCCACTTAAGCAAACAATTTTTATGGCATCAAAAACCTGCACACTAGAAATTTTGTCTATATCTGTGAACGAGAAAGTACATACTTGAATTTTGTTTATACAGACACTGTAACATGCCAGAAAGCAGGTGTAAATGATATTTAATACTGAAGTGCCACTAAACTGCTTGCTATTTGTAAATAGAGTAAATACATTTTATTACATTGATATAGATAAAATTTGAGCATAGGCTTTCTATGTTACTTCATCTGCAATCTCCAAACAGTTTTGAGACAGGATCTGTTCATCTTCAGCCTCACATTGTGCTGCTTGCATAGTGCAAAGTGAAGTTAAACCCTCTCTAGGGATCTTCTTTCCAGCATTCCCTTGTTCTGGCAGTGGTATGAGAGCCATTTTGTATGCCAAAACCTTGCTTGGCTCTGCTTCTGTGCCAGCAGTTATTTTATCTCAGCATCAAGAGAGGAAGCAAGGAGGGGTTTCCTGGAGAGGACATGGGCTGAAGAAGAGACTGTGGTCAAAATGATTTGGTGGTCTCTAACTTGTCTCTCAGCATAATGTCCATCAGCGTCTAGTAATTTAATCTAAAGCTTACCTGTACTTCTCTAGCAAGTTCTGTCCTGCCTCAAGAATCAGGGAGGTAGGTCTGCTGTGGTTTCTCTGCTGAGCTGGGGAAAGGGGGAATGGAGCAAAAAGGCAGTGTTTAATTCAGATTGTCCTGTATTCTTGCAAGTCCTCCTCCACTTATATTCCTTTCAGTGGATTGAATTAAATTCTTTCACAAAAAAAAAATTGTAGAAACAAAACAGTGATTGACTTTTAGATTTAATCTCTGGAAGCAATTTTTTTTCCAATCTGCAAGTGTTTGACAGATAAGAAATGCATAAATACATTTACTAATCCTAGTTACCTTTTATGTGTTTCCCTGTTTCTAATAAGTTTAAATAATTTTAAACTTTTTCAGAGTGTGAACCCCTATCTGCAAGGACAGCGACTGGATAATGTTGTAGCAAAGAAGTCTGTTCCACAGTTTTCGGATGAAGACAAAGGTCCTGAATAAGTACAGTAAAAATGAAAGATAAAAACTCATGCCATCCCCTGCTAGACTGTAATATTGCTTATATATAATCATCTATGAAAATCCTTGTGAATGGCAGCATGCTTATTATTTATACGACTGTAGATGAAAAACAGCTGTATTTATAACAGTATGTTCTAGATAAGAAAAATATGGTTCTGCTTTTTGTTAAGTTACGGTAAAAGGACATTTCTGTTGTTTTTATTTTAGTCATGGAGCAAACTTTAAAAATGTTAGTCATTTTAATAGCTAACGTGAGGTAAATGGTCCTAATGAGCAGCTTGTAAATAGAAAGATGAAAAAATGCCCAATCTGACTCCAGCATTTAATCTTAAATGTTACTATGTTTGACACATGAAAATTTTAGTTTTATGTTTTGTTCGCAAATATTGTTACTTAGCAAAGACAAAGTATTTATTTTACCAGAGAATTTTGGCTTTTGGTCATTTTAATAAACATTTAAGCAATCTACAAGGTTTGCAAAGTGACGTTTCCAAAATATTTCAGAGGCTCATTTGTCTCTGTTATTTCTGTGCAAATTTAAAAATTAAAGAACTGCTTTTTGACTCTATTCACTGGAATATTTTTCTGTTAGTTTTAATCATTCCTTAACTTTCCTGAACACTTGCACATCTTTCTTCTTTATCAATGAAACTGTTATGTTGAATCTCCCCCACAGTTCTTTGTCTGAGTAACAGCAGCATTTGTGCATTATAGTGTTCTTAAATTATGCTTCCAGGGGATATTATAAATGAAGATGGAGACATTTGTCTGTGTTAATAAGGTTGTATCAACAACCTCTGAATCTAAATCCAGGCTATGAAGGTCATTACAGTTGATCTTCTGAAAAATTATGCTACTCTAATAACACTGGTAGCTATCATTGCTCTTAAAGTTGTTCCAGGAAGCTTAAATTGCCCTTTTGCCCCTAGGAGGTTGAAGAACTTTGTATTCCAGAGTTTTCCCTTTCTGAAAGAGGAGAATATAAAATTACCTAAAATTTTTTATTTTTAGAATACATCTGAATATTTAAAGCCATGTGCACGAAGCATTGGAATTACGGAAAAGAACCTTAATTTACAGCTTTGAACTTGAAATCTGTGGAAAAAGAAGTAGTTTCCTTTCCCATCCTACAGAAAAACACAGTAAAATAATGATGACACCTTAGAAAACAAACAGATAAGGAACTAAAGTTCCTAGCTACACAAGATTAAAGTTAACAGGATGGCACATATATGACTGTCAATAGCATTTGCTTTTTTTGTCCCACCACTTGGTAATAAATTATGTATGTAGAGAGTTGGCCCTCTCATGTCATCTATGGGTAGATTGTAAAACTGTGTGATATTTTAGGATGAACTATCATGTCTTTCATCATAGATCATTTTTTAAAAAAATCTGGAAGAGAAGACTAAATAGTATGTAATGCAGTGGGGTTTATACTCGCACATGACACAAAATTGAGGAATTTCTATGAATCACAGAGCTGCCTCCTACTGGCTGGAATACGATGGGAGCAATTCATGTGACAGAACTTGAAATCTCTGCTCCTTAAGCCTACTGTTTTTATCTGCACTCCTGCTTAGTCTTCACCCAGGTTTTGAGAGTTGCAAACTTGCAAAGGTTGTCTCCAAAATCAGCAAAAAGTATATATATGCTGTATATATATATAAATATATAACTATATATATATATAGCTGTATATATAACTATATATATATATCTATCCTTATTAGCTCCAATAAAATCCATTTTAATCACAAAAGTGAAGCAACCATAATGGCAATTAATTCCATTTTTTAAGCTCTTAGTAAGGACCAGTATATAGTAAAAGAAGGTATTTATGGTAAATAGGGGGCTTAAAAACAGAGGGGCAAAGAAACATTGTTTGCTTAATAGTATCAGTGATCTCACATCTAATTTCTTGAAGTACTTTAGGCCACTACACCATTTCTGGGGATGATGTGATAATCCAGAACAGCAAACTGGCCAGAACAGGAGTCTTTGGATTCTGCCTGTGACCTGGGTGGGGCCAGAGGAGCTGTCCTCCTGTGTATGATAGGTCTGCACAGCACAGGCAAAGGAAAAATATCACAATTCAGAGGTGATTTTTGTCTTTAAATGCAAACAAAAAAAATGCAAAAACCTTTAGACTGCACAAAACAATGTGTCTTATAGGAATTGTGTGCTGGAAGAAGTCAAATGCATGGTGGTGAGCAGCTGTCTGCTGAGTCCATTGGGCAGCTTGAGTGTTTCGCCAAGAAGACTCAATAGCACTATTATGAAATTTTAATAAAATATAGCTCTTACACCGTGATAATGAGATTCATTATTCTAATTTCAGTTTCATACTAGAGCTGTCTTACTGTACTGGGATTGGTAGTCCCATGTTGATTTAAAAAAAAAAAAGAAAAAACAAGAAAAAAAAAACCCTTGTCCCTTCTGCTTCTCCAACAAGAGTCCTAACATGTATATGGAGTTTTTATTAGAATCATCTTTCAGAGTCACTGAGTAAAAATACCAACTATCCCCCTCACTAAGAACTCACTTCACCAAACCAATAGATAAAAGAATCTAAATAGCTGCACAGCTCTTGCAGGTGTCATTGCCCTTTTACATTTACGATGCATGTGAATTAAGAAGCATGTCTGTTGATACTGTTGTTTAGAATTTTCATTAAATTAAAACCTTTTTAGAGTATTTTAAAACTCGCAACTGTGTTAATTACCTCTGACGTATTTGAGACACAATGTCCTTGAAAGAAGCTATACAAAATAAAGTGTATTGCCATGCAACATTGATTTTGTCTAGTAAAGAAATATTTATTACTCTGGCTTTAAAAAAGCACCATGTAACTGATCATATTATAGTATTTGATTTGTGACACAAAATTTACTCTGGGAGTGCAATGTGTGTATGCACACACACACACACACACACACACTAACATGCACTTTTAAAAAGATAATATAGTCTGATAATAAACTCAGTAGTGAAGAATATAAATATGTTAACTCACAGAAGAAAGTAATATAAAAATGCTTAGTGAATTACTAAGGAGGGGAAATAGTGATATGCTTCTATATATTGGCACATTTGCATTCACCTAACAAAACTGTGTTACTGATCTATTCAGCAACTCATGAGCAATCCAAAGAAACTTGGAAATAGTTCCAGGAATCTGATGTCAGAGTCCCAAGAGTCACAGGGTTGCAAGTAAAGCTGATCTGAAGCTTATTTTATGAAAATATGATGAAAAGTTCTTCATCCGTTAAACTGAAGAAAGGCACAGGCAGAAAGATGACTACTAAGTCAATTAAGTTTTTGGCTTTGTTGTGGAAATAGTATCACTCAAGCCCCTTTGTTTCAAAATGTCAATAGCTGAGGATGAAGACAGGTATTTTTTGATGATGAAGAGGAGACTTGAGTCCATGCCCTCAAACCAGCTCTCTAACCAGTAGCTTTGTGGAAGTGTTGAAAAACTTTGTTTTCATTTTCATGCTGTACAAAAACTAATTTTTGAACATTTACATTTGTTGGAAAAAGCCAGTAATAACATCATCCCAAAACAAATCTTCTGGCCTGTTTGCTGGTAAGCTCACTAAACTAACTCTAACCTTATTTGTAATGCTGTTAACACTTACAATGTGATAGAAGTTTTATGCAATTGCTTCTTTTTTATATATACACAAATCAGCAATGTCTGGATCTGTAGGACAAAGAGTTCAAAGATAACTTCTCAGTCAAAGTCACACAGATTTATGGAAGAAGAAGGGGAAGGTAGGAGAATTCAGATGATACCACAACCCCATAAAAATTGGAAATGTCTAAGGAAAGTACAATTTCACATGATCCACAGGGGGAATGAGTATGTTCACTATTTTATTAGCTAAGTGTGCTAGAGGTAAGATTTAAGGTACCTCTCCATCCAAGTCAGGAACTATCAGGGCCATCAGGGAAAGAGAGGACATTATCTCCCATTTTGAGACACCTAAATCCAAGGTTTCAGGCTAATGGAATTGACAATTAGATTGAACTATATTTCTGCCATACTTGATAAAAATAAGAGGGCAATCTAATATGCCCTAAATGAAAGACATCAACAATAAAAACCAAAAAGAACATATTGACTCCATTGCCACATGGATACATATGCATACACTTAAAAATTTAGTTTTGTTTGAAGACATGCAATTACCTTCAATACAGTTAAAAAATAATCATATTCAGGAATTATCTCAAATCAGAAGTCTTCTTTTTAAATAAAGAATTATTGTGTCCCTTAAAAGGTCTGCCTGTTTGTGGTGCCTAGAGTCAATGACAGATTCCAAGCATGAGCAAAGACAAGTTCTCTTGAAGGGTTCAGCCACTGACAGTGAGTGGCTTACATGCAGACTACATAAAAACTATAAGGAAATGTAGGTGAAGGAAGTGGAATTGCCATCATGAAGGGCCTCATGAATCACAAATGTAGCTGACTAGCACAGGATTGGGTCCTAAGCCAAGATTTTCATATACAAGAGAGCGAAATGCTCAAATGAACCATTTTCCAAGTACGCTCATGGTCCACATCTACCCCACTCGAGCCTTTTGCTGTTAGGTGAAGAGTGGCACTGAACTCCAGTTCATCGTCCTAATTTGCCATGAGAAGGAAGCATGTACTTTCAGTTCTTATGTTCGCTTTATTTAGGATGCCAACTGCTTTGCTGCAATTACATGAATTCTGATGGTTGGAAGAGCCTCTAGCCATGTGTTCAACACATGGGAGCATAACAAATGTTAAATACGAGTGTCATGGCAGTAGTGTTACCAGTTGGAACTAAAAGAGCTTAAAAAAAATCCTGTTTGACTATCAAGGTCTGTATTTTTATGTGCAGCAGAGGTAGAGATGGTAGGAATTGAGAATGGCTTCAGACTTTAGGTAGCTCTAATCACCTCTTTTTATTCTTTCCTGTGGTTCCTGTTACCAAAACACATGGAATGCAGCTCCTAATGCAATGTATGGTCTTTTACATTTAATCACTATGTTTCTTCATCCTACTCTTCTCTCCAAGAAAAACAGTGGTGGGAGTCAGTGGCTAAATTTCACTGTAAACTGAGTGAGGCAAAGGAGAAAGAAAGCACAGAGAAAAATAATGTGCTACTAGTCTTAAACTCTCCCTCATTCCCTAACCAGCGTCATTTATTTAGAGACCATTAAATGTATAGTGGGGGCCGCTTTCCTGGGAGCCACCAAAGATCTCCATTAGAGATGGTAAGTGTTTTTAGGTCTGGGCATATTTGTTAGATCACAGAAGGTGCATACGACTTCAATGCTGAATTGAATCTTAGCCTCTTTTAATTAGTTCTTTATTCTGTAAAACGAAAAAAACCCACCAAAATCCTAGAAGTTCTTCAGTGCAATATATGCATTCTAATGCCCCAAAGTCCTCTAAAAGTGGCTGAAATTCAAGTGGGATTTCATATGGGGAAATATGGTCCTGATTCCTCAACACAGTAGAGAACACCTTTCTACACTGGGAAATAAAATACCACACAGTGACATTTTGTATTTCTAAATGGACAAAACAGACTTATGAAAGAACACGTCAGGCCATCCAGAGAAACACTCGTACTTCACCATTTGTTAGTTTTTTCCCTTTCTTTGAACAACATTGCAAACAGTCACTAACTCAATTGCAAAACTTTGATTCCAACAGGTGGTGCAATGGCTGTAAGATTTATGGGCTTGAAAGTTGCATTATTACAGTTGAAGTAAGAAACCTGTTTTTAATGCTCAAATGATCAAATTAAAAAATAGTCATAACTGATTTAAGTAAGTAAAAGTCAGTGTTATGATAAGCATGGCTGTCATAGTTTGTGCACAGACTCTGGCTATTGGTTAAATTCCCAAACAACTCTACTACTCAGCTGCCACAGGAGTCTGCATGTGTGGGTAATGTACGTGTGCACAGTTAAAAAAGCAGAAAAGTATGTCCTGCTTCTGATTCCTTATAGCTTTCTCTTGCTACTCCCACAGTGTCTCCAGCTTTGCTTCAGCCTTTCTGGTGGTTACTGGTCTGAAGCTATGGTGTCTTGGAATATTTGTTTTCAGGGACTTTGACGAATGCAAAGTCTTCCAGCATGCAAGCAGTAGGTGCCAGAATGTTACACATTTCTTTTGGTTTAAAATACGTTAATTATTTTCTGCTTTAGTAGTTGAGGTTATTTTCTGATTTCTAACCGTATTGGCCATTTTCTGCTGTGTTTTTACATTCTCAACAGCAACCTATAAGCCTTTAAAAGAACAAGAATTATCCACAAACTTCAAGATAAGACCTTCATAGACCTCCCATAAAATACCAGTTGCTTGTTAAAAAACACTTTGTGTCTATTTAGTTGTGTATCTGGAGTTTCTTGATCTGGAAGTTTACAAAACTGGGAATTATTTCCAATTAAAAGATGGGTGAACAGTTGCAAAGAGGTTGAGGGCTGACTCCACTAAAGGCCAGAGTACCCACAGTTGGACTTGTGTCCAATGCAAATATCAAAGTCCAAGCACATGCTCCTCAAACTGTGACTCCCTTTCCTATAGCTATAGGCTATACACACTATGTTTTCTTGTAATCATGTACCTCAGGGGCCTGAACTTCTGTGCATGCCTAGGACTGTTTGAAACTTGGTGAACCTGCATAGCTCTACATCTCTCTCAGTCCTAAACCCAGCCTGAACCCACAAACTTGGCAATTCCTGCCCTATATTCCCTGGGGAACCAGCCTGGCAATGAGTCACCTCACACATGTCTATAGGAGCAGGCATTGAACAAAATACTGCAGCAGACATAGACAATTTAATTAAAAAAATGGTGTCTGTAAGGGTTATGGCAAAAGAATCAAAGCTCTAATGACACCAGAGAGGGAGATCAAGAATAAACACAAATTTGTCATCTAGTGGTTCAGACGGCAGGCTGAACACAAGGAAGGACAGAGTAACACCTGGGCTCTAGCTACTCCTCAAAGAGTGTTTTGGGCAGACACTTGATGAAAACACAAAAGTAGTCTGAGAGCATGGCAAAAACAAGCCAACCACGCACCCCTATCCTTCCCAGTAGATGGCTAATTTTGGCTCCCTGTCTTAATTGTTTCCTGAATTGTTGAA